TGTACGATCTCTCAAAGGCTTTATCTTTCATGGGGCTTTTTTATTTTTATTTTTTGATCCAATACTTTATATTGCAGAGGAGAGATGTGGGGGTCTTATTGACCCCAACATCTCTCCATAAGGAGGACCTGGCACTAATTATTTCTGTCACAAGGGATGTATGCATTTCTTGTGATAAGAATAAAAGTGATTACAATTTTAATTAAAAAAAAAAGTTTAAAGTGCCCTGTCCCTCTCGTGCTCACACGTAGTGGTGAACGCATACGTAGGCCATGCCCACATATGTAAATTGTGTTCAAACCACACACAGGAGGTATTGCCATGAACGTCAGAGCAAGAGCAATAATTCTCCCACTAGACCTCCTCTGTAACTTTACACTGCTAACCTGTAGAAATTTTTAAAGCATCACCCATGGAGATTAAGTACCACAGTTTCACGCCATTTCACGATTTTAAAACGTGACATGTTGGGTATCTATTTACTCGCCGTAAGATACTCTTTCATATTTTACAAAGAAATGGGGTATATATTGTTTTTTGTAATCAAAGTGTATTTTTTTACAAAAAATATATATTTATTTTTAAAAACTGTGCGTTTTCGTTTTTCAGCCAAGTGCATTTTGAATTTTCGGTTTCAGCAGCAGAATTTTAATTTCGGTGCACCACTAGTAAAAGCACATTGTTGAGACATTTTTTGCTAAGCCCTATAAGGTAGTAGATTGAGTGTACACATGCTGAACACAATCCATTCAAGGGAATAGGCCGCACTGCAGCTGTGCAATTTTTTCACAATTGTAGCATTATGGGGCGGCATTTACAGAATTAAAACAGGCAGCCAGGAGGCAACATATCTGGCAGTGGGTGGAGTGCGGTGCCATTTTTAAATTTGATGCCCATTTATTCACTGATATAGAGGCTGGATCTGCACGGATTCCCTATGTCTGGTTATACGGTCCATGCATGTGCCATTTTCTTCAGTGCATGCAGTTGACTCCATGCTTCCCGCCAACATCCCATGCCGCACTTTTGTACTTCTGTGCAATCCTTTTTGAGCCCTTAGGATTCCTGCTGCTTCCTGTGCAAGGTCAGATCAGCACTTAACCATTCCTGCTACATATTTTGTGAGTACCCCATTCTGGGATTTAATTTGCAACCAAATATGGTGGTTCATAAGTAAAAGGGTAGCAAAGTTGCATGTCTTGCTAGCTTACGATCTTAACTACAGTTCTTTGTGGTTTGCAGTATACCCCCCAAGGGAACCAACTTCAAAAACCTGGACAATGGTCTCTTGCTTGCGTTGATGCACTCTTCCTTAATACTTTCTGGGGGTGGCTTCCTCCTCTGTGTTCTCCACAGAGGAATTATTGCTACTATGTGTAATTGTATGGCTAACATATCAGCCATGATGGTTGACCCAGATTACAGGGACCTCAGAACTCCTCTCTGGTAGATCTTTGATATACACCATAGCTTAAGGATGCCATTGCAACTCTCACTGATTCAGTCCATGCATGTATAGGACTGGAACAACCTGAGTTGGTTGTGCCCTTAGGTTACCAGTCTGAATTCTCTAAATAGCCCTCAGCCTAAAGTCATTTATGATTCATTCACTATTACAGACTATGTTGCAGTATATGGTGATTGGCCTAATCCAAATAAAATCTCTGCCACTTCTAAGCATTTTGCACAGCAATATCCTAATGAGGAAGAGTTCTAACGGTTGACTGATGTAGATTCAGCTACTGGCTGTCATACCAAGACCCAGTAGGGGAAATTCTGACATTCAAGGATTTGGTGGACAAAAGACCCAAACTTCTTTCTCCCTGGCAGGCTTTAGCAGTACCTTATATGCATAATCTTAGTTTTCTGGGCTGGGGATCTGTGTTCTATCCTTTCAGACCCCTCTTTCTGGAAACAGCTGAAACTCATGCCTGTGGGCCTTGTGCTACTTTGTAGATGGTCTGGTGAGAATGATATGCCAAATCTCCACGATGAGTCTCTTCTCTGTACAAATGCGAAGGACTCTTTGGCTACAATATATAAAGATAGTTAGCCTTTTGGGGAGATAATACAAGAGGCAGCTTGCAAACCTTAACAGAAATGTAAAAAAGGCATTTTGCAGTGCCAAAGACAAATATCAACAATAATAAAGTAATAACAATAACATAGTATAACAATAATATAACAATAATATAAGCTTAAATGACAGCTGTCATACACATAAAGTATAAAAACAGTGATCAGTAATAACCAGATATCCAGTTAGTGAAACCATAATATTTGTGCAGAAACATTCATCAAAGTGAAAAGGGGTGATGTATCCACCACCGCATCCAATCGGGGATCAATCTTCCAGTGTGTGACCTTACCACTCCCTCTAGTGAATTTAAAACTCACAAAAAATATATGCTGCAGAATATGCAATACAAACAGCCTGATTCATCAACTGCCGCACACTCTCCTTGTCGTCATAGTCTCAGCCAGAGGGAACCACTTCTTCTCGCTTCTAGACAACAAAGGGAGAATAAAAGACCAGCAAGACACTGTACAAAGAAGCTCATCCCAAGAGCAAGCAGAATGAACTCCTAGGGTATTAAATTAAACATTACACAGGTACATCAGATAAAAACAAAGAAAGCAATCAGTAGCAAACTCATGCCCCATGCATTTCGTTCAATCGTCTTCTGGGGACCTCTAGTGCTAGGGTACTGCTTTTCTTTTTTTTTTTTTTTATGTTGTGCGGGGGTGGGTTTTCTTTTTACGCATACACATCTTCCAACTGAGACTGAGAGCTGCATTCATGTTTCCATAGACTAAACCTCTCCTCCACCAGAATATTTGTACAATTCTAACAAAGTATGCCAGACAAGTGCCTATACTATTGTTAATCAAAATCTCTCAAACTGGTGGCCATATTCATGTGGACCAGGATTACTGCGTTTTATGTAGCTCAAATTGTTATACTATAAAAGATAGTCAAAGTATTGTCATCATATATCCGATACCAAAGCAAACTTATACCTATATTGATTAACATCCCCACAATTCAGTATAAATAAATTATAAATGAAAAAATAAAAAAATGCCCCCACACTACCTCACCAGCTGCTGTACCAAAATCAATAAAATAAGTGTTTCTCTAAGGAACACCTCCGGGAAATCACCACAAACACATAATTATATAAAAATGGTGTAAAGCTCCTAAAATATCTAACCACCTTTATTAAGTTCATATACTTTTACATACAATTCTGGCACATAAAAAGTGGAATCAACTCCAAAACGCAATGTGCTATAAACCATAAAATACAGTAAATGTAGTGCACGGTCCCTTTAAGAACACTTCATGTACGATCCAATATATTATACTTAAGAAAAAATATTTAAAATTAATAAAAACCATTGAAATAAAAAAAACAAACAAACAGAAGTGCTACTTCAAATTCAGCAACTGTGCCAAAACACAATTAAACAGATGCATGTGTCCATATATAGTTAAAACAAATCTCCTATGTGCTCTCATGCAAAATTCACTGACCGCAAAATTTTGCATGAAAGCACACAAGAGAAGTGGGAAACACAAAAAAAAATTTTTATTGACTATATATGGACCCATGCATCTGTTTAACTGTGTGTTCTGACACAGTTGCTGAATTTGCAGTAGCACTTTTTTTTTTTTTGTACAATATATTGGATAGCTACTGTACATCAAGGTTTCTTAAAGGGACCATGCACTACTTTTTTTTTTTTTTTTTTTTTTTTTTTTTTATTGCACACTGCAGTTTTGGAGTTGATTGCACTTTTTATGTATTTGAATTGTATGTAAAGGTATGTGAGATCTTGATAAGGATGGTTACATATTTTAGGAGCGGTACACTGTTTTTGTATACTAATAAATAAATTTAGAATACAGATTTAAGATAAATATCAAATAAATGTAGAATCCCTCCTAGATTGTAAGCTCCAAGGAGCAGGGTCCTCAAATCCCTCTTGTATTGTTGCTGTATTTTCTTCCGTTATATTGTAAAGCGCTGAGCAAACTGTTGGCGCAATATAAATCCTGTATAATAATATATTTAAAATGCAGAGTTTTCACAAATTTTCTTTCCTTTTTTTTACATTTCTTTTTTACCTTTGGCTAAAATGTTGACCTTTGGAAATCTGTGCAAAAGATGCTTTAAATATGCTGTTCAAGGGTGAATGCCTTTTTTGTACCATCCTGAACAAATTGATCTAGGAATTATTGAGCGGAAAAAAAAGCACCCATTTGCTCAATCGAGAAATCCTCTACCTCTGTTTCTAAAAAGTTTCCTTTTGTTTCCTACAGGCTTCAAAATCAAAGACAAAACTTGGGGCCCCACCCAGGGGCGGATTGACAACTCATGGGGCCCCGGGTAATAGGGGATCATGGGGCCCCTGTGTGCTTGCCCAAACTCCAAAAAAGCCTATGAAAAGGTACCAGGGGCATCTCATGGGGCCCCTACTGACCCTGGGCCCTCGGGCAGTGCATGAGTTTCCAAATGGTCAGTCCGCCCCTGGGCCCAGCTATGCTGTGAGTTCTGAACATCAAATCCTCCAAGCTTAGGGACAATGCAGGGATGCCCCCACTTGGTCAAGTGAGCGGTGACCGATGGCCTTGCAGCATCTGGACGTTAGGGTCCACAACATGGTCACCAGGACACAGGTCCCACTCCTCTGTTTCTTATTATCCACCCCTCCTATTGCTTGCTTAGAAGACTGAGATTGGAGGGATTAGGCAGGGCTGTCCTAACTGCTTTGCTTTGTCAGAGTCCAATTCCCCTGACGGGGGCAGCATAATGTGTGCATTCTGGAATACTATCCTGTGCCCTGCAATGTACAACTAGTAAAGGATTTTACAGGTTAGACAAAAATCCTATTTTTCTGGACTTGCAGGGCTAAAACCTAGGAAAATGCGCATTTATTGCATGTTTTTTTTCCCCCTGACATAGTTATTAATAATATTGTTTTGTCTCTTGTAGCTACTACTCCCTTCAAATTTACTGAGCAACCCACAACTCCATGCACCAATAAAAAGCTAAAGTTTGATCTTCACGCAAGTTTGGCACGGCCACTTGGTTATGAGCCCCACAAAGGTGAGCATGAGTTAAATATGCTGGATTCATTAACAGAAAACCTAATCTGTAGGTTCATTTCATTTGACAGTTTGCTTCCTCAACTTAAAGAAACCAGTAAAGCTATCAGTTTCCTGTTCAATTCTTTTTATTGTTTTCAGTGCCAATGAAGGTTAACAGGTAAACCCATGCAAGGGCTAAAACACCCTTAGCGAACTTTTAGACAATTGCAGAGGAAAAATAGTCTTCCAAGACACAAGCAATTGAAACCCTACACAGATTAGGGATACATAGATGAATCTGGGTACCTCAAGGGGCTCATAAACTCCAAAATGAGGGAGGAGGGTATGTAGAGGGAAATTTTCCTGTAGACTTGGATGTGCACTGATCTGATTAGCTAAAAAATAGATCAGGCAAGAGGAGATTTGAGGAAGGTAGGGCATAATTAAGCCATGGTTCCCGTATTTTAAGAATATAGACTGAATCTTGTGAAGCAGAACTTCACTCGCTCAATCAACATTGACTATTTTTAATCTTTATGTTGCTAGCATTAGTAAATGGATAGGAAGAAATTTACTTGTTTTCAACTTTTCAACATTCCTTATGTTTTTTTCCTGGTTTCCATGCTTAGGCAAATGTCGTACATCCAATGAGTCTTCATGGAAGAAAGGGCTTTTTCAGCCAAACACATAGTCTTGACTGCATGCCTGAGCTACCGGCAGATGGATTCCAGGAAGTAACTGCTATATAAATTATCTGCCCTTACTCAAGATGGCCATGGCCAGAAATGCTGGGGGTGCTTTTCAAAGTGATTTCTCAACAAATTAGAGCATGGAGACTGATAGATGAATAAGTTTGCTTTGAATATTAAAAATTAATTAAATGGCATTTTTGCTCTGTTGTGCTTGTAGGCAGTGTAGTTCCCCTTTAAGAATGCTAGACAATTTTTTTATTAACTAATATCAGATTCATCCGATCTTTGACCTCTTCAATGGAGATAAAGGGCTTCTTCCAGGCATTGGTTATTGCTGGTTTGGTGGCCAAAAAAAGGTAGATGGCCAGTTTCTGTTGGTGAAAAAAATGCCTGGGATGGAACCATGGTGGACAGCAAATTTAGCATCCTTTAGGGATTTTTTAGATTTAACAAAGTTTTAATGAGTCAGAGAGTTCTCCACCAAAATGCAGATTAGTGGTTAGTTTAGGGTATGTCCACCAAATATTAAGTACATCCCCACATTGGCCATAACCCCTAAAACATTTGTCATCATAGTTCAGGTTTGCGTGGGCTATATAGGGTGGGATCCAATGCCACCGGAAAAAAACTTTTATAAGAAGATTTCAGAATACATAAAAGAGCACTACTTTACTTTCAACCAGATTTCTCTCCAACCCTCCAAGTCTGTAAAGAGTGCTAAGTCATGCTGCCAATTTTTCACATGAATTCACAGTCTGTTTAAAGTAACATACAGAATAGAGATGTGTGGGAGTCCTTGGGGTGTGTAAACATGTTCAAATATAGTTTTTGTAAGTGGAAAGGTAGCATGGTTACGAAGGGACAATGTCCAGTGTGGCTGTTGTAGATATCGGCAATAGTCTTAATTTGGTGCTCCGTGATCTTGCTGCAATAAGGGTAGAGCTGCAATACAGGACTTCTTGGAAAACAGAGTGGAACGTCCGAAGTGGCATGCAGTAAGGAAAATTGGAAAATGTTAACTTCTTGATAATATTTGGTTATATTGAGGATTCCTAAACTTGCTTGTAGTGTATGGGTGAAAAGGGTAAGACCAGTAACCCTGAGGCATTTATAGGCCAAAGTAAAGGAATGAAGGCAGAGCTAGAAAGAAGGCACTTTAAGTGGTAAAGTGTGAAAGTAGTAAAGGACTTTCGGGAGGATAGTTATTTTTATAGCATTTATCTGCCTTATCCAGAACAGTCCAGGAATTTTCGATGTTTGCATAAGAGACATAAGTGAGTGTAATAAAAGGTAGTAGTCGTAAATAGGGAATTATAATTGGGGGTCAATTTAACGCCCAAATAATCCAACATCAACATTGTCCATTGGTATGGGAATTTTGTTTGAATTGATGAAACTCTCTCTGTAGGAAAGGAAACGTTGAGAGCAGTAGATTTAGTTGGATTTACCTGCAGGCCACATATAACTGAATCGTACAAGTGTTTTGAAGGTTTGAGTGGGTATCGAGTGGGTTGGTAAGAACTGGAAAGGCATCATTCACAAACAGATTCACCTGATAGTGTAGCACAGCTTTCAAGATTTTAGTTGTATTGGGATTATCCTCAATGGCACATGCCAATGGTTCTAATGCCAGGATGAAAAGAATTGGAGAAATGGGACATCCCTGGTGGGTACCTCAAGAAATCTGAAAGCATCCAGAAAGATACGCATATCTGACTGTGGTGGAGGGTGAAGTGTATAAAGCAGAGATCCAAGACTGAATAGATTTCCCGAAGCCCCAAAGATGTAAAACATACACAATCTTACCAAAAGTATGGGGACACCTGCCTTTACACGCACATAAACTTTAATGGCTTCCCAGCCTTAGTCCATAGGGTTCTAAAGTGATACCTCAGTTCAAAAACTTAATTTGTTCCACGACTCTGGTCGCAAACCGAATTGGTCATGAACCGAGGCAAACCTTCCCATAGGGTTCAATGTAAATCAGGTTAATCCGTTCTGACTCCTGCAAACGTGGTCGTGAACCGAATTTGGTCGGTAACGAAACCAAATTTTCCCATAAGGTTCAATGTAAATAAGGTTAATCCATTCTGAATTTTTTTTTGAACTACAAAAATATGAAACAAAGTACAGTATGAAGAGAGAACACTAACCTTGCTTGAGATGATTTCTGGCGTAGAGGACAGGAAGGCGGGTGAGAGGCGGTTATTGTTCAGAGGGAGAGTCCCGCTCCATAAGGACATTGGGGAGATCTCCTTCAGGGTGTTTCCTCTCTTCTTTGTCTCTTAGCTGCAGGCTCAGTTTTGGTGAAAAATCTGTCCAATGTCGCTTGTCTTTTCCTGTGCTGCATAACCCTCTGGAAATGAGACCACGTTATCGTTCATCAGACTCAACATTGTTTGTTACAGTTATAATAGGGTTGTGCTTCTCAAAAAAATCATGGCACTCATTCCATTTTTCCATAATAGATTTTATGGCATCACTGCTAACCTCCTCCCTGTCTTCCTCTTCCTCAGAGGAATGCTCCTCAAGAAGCTCCTTGTGCTGCTCACTGGAGTTCAGAAAGTTCTTCCGTGGTCAGCTCCTCCTTATGTTACTCAACAAGCTCCTCTGTCTGTGCCATCGAGCTCCAGACCCATGCTCTTGCCCATGGACACAATCCGCTCCACTACCTCTGTATCAGACCCTTCAAAGTTACATTCAGTGACACATTCTAGCCACAGTTTCCTCCAGGCTGAGTTAAAGGTCTGGTACGTGACATCTTCCCAGGCTTTGTCAATGAGGTTGATGCAGTGCAGAACATTGAAATGTTTCTTCCAGAATTCTTTCAGACTCGAGGACATCTCTTCAGCGACATTAAAACACCTAGTGAAGAGCGCCTTTGTGTACAACATCTTGAAGTTGCAGATCACTTGCTGGTCCATGGGCTGCAGCAGAAGTGTCGTGTTTGGGGGGGATGAACGTGACCTTTATGAAGTCGTACTTGGCGTCCATATCATCCCCCAAGGCTGGAGGGTGTGTCGGGGCATTGTCTTTCAGAAGAAGGCACCTTTCAGGTAGTTGGTTGTCAGATATTTTTTTTACGGTGGGTGTGAACACCACGTGCAGACATTCCATGAACAATTGCCTTGTGACCCAAGCTTCGTATTGGTTCTCCACATGACAAGCAGTCTGCCCTTGTTCATATTCTTTTCCCTGAATGCACGAGGGATCTGGGAATGGTACATCAGTAGTGGCTTAATCTTCAGATTGGCGCTTGCATTCACACACAGCAAAATGGTCAATCTGTCCTTCATGGGCTTGTGCCCCGGCAGTGCCTTTTCCTCCACCGTGTGATATAGGTTCAGTTCAGCATCTTTTCCCAGAAGAACCCTGTTTCATCACAGTTACACAGCTACATATCCTTCTGCTTTCATGAATTCCACAAATGCTTTCTTGTCGGCCTCTGCAGTGGCCTTGTCAGAACTGGAAGCCTCACCATGTCTTGTCACACTGTGGACGCCACTTCTCGTGCTGATTTTTTCACACCACCACTGGCTTTAAATTTTTCACTTGCTGCACTTGTAGAGGGTTTTTTTTTTTTTTTTTTGCAGTAAATGACTGCAATTTCCTGGCTTTTTCAAAGATCATATCACCTGTCAGCTCTTTCTCATTCAACCAAACTAACAAACGTTTTTCCACCTATTCCAGCACTTGCGTCCTCATTCTTGCTCTGCAGTTTCTTTTTACCACCATGCTTGCTCTGCACATTCTTGTCACCTTCATTGCCGCTCTGCAAGCTCTTGTCACCTTCATTACTGCTCTGCATGACTAACTGCAAATGTAAATGACCCTTTACTGTTCTGAGCCTCCTTTAAGACTGCTTTCACACTAATGTGCTGAGGTTTACCTTTTACCATGGGTGCAGCACAGTGTATCTACAAACGTCTTGGCTTAGCTGCTTTGGCATTGACTTCTGTTATATCCTGCAGGTGTGTTGCACTCCCACATCCAAGAGTTTTGGTGCAGTTTCAGAAAGTGCACCAATAGAAGTCTGGCACAGCAAACCCTCAGGAAAGTTGCAAGCACACTGGACTGTACCCGAGGTGTGGGTAAATGTCAGTGCATCAGTGTGAAAGCAGCACTATACTATTTTGCTCAGTGTATTGCTTCACACTGACCTGAAGTTCTTTACTTTCTTGCTGCTGACTCCACTCTGGAGACTGCTAGCCGGGATAAGAGGTGCTGTTGTTATCACTCTGCATGGGACAGGTAGTATCAGCTTGTGCAGCTCTTGCTCCCTACTACAGCTCCAACTTTACAAGTCCCTCTACATTGCACTCTATTT